CTAATGAGCACAAAAGGTATGTGTAAAGCAAAAACCCAGGCTGGAACGCACCAGGCGAGCCAGTGCTATCATGCGTTTTTGCACCAAACCTAAAGTAATTAGACTAACTGCATGAACGATTATTTCTTCACACCTACTTTGTGCGCGCAATACCGCAAGTCATCGTAAGTTTTGCAAAAAAGGAAATAAACAATTTTCGTTTAGCGGTCGTTTCTATTTGAAAGCGACTCAGCTGTTCAATGGAATTTTCCCGCCAAAAATTTAAGTGCCCGTACACGAGAACCACGCGTACATGGGAGCTGAATTCGATCCTTTAATTTATATTGAGACAGGGAATATTCTCCTGAAAATTACAGCCTTCCAGCTTTTCTGGTTCTTGGGTTACCATTTTCCCGCCAAAAAATTTCACGGGGCCACACGTGAGAACCGAGCATGCCTGGGAGCTGAATTTTGAAATCTTTGAGTTATGTGTGGACGGAGAACATAGCCTCAAAATTTCAGCTTTCTATCTTATCTCGTTCCCGAGTTATCAATTTTCCGGCCAAAACTTCCACTCCTTCGTACGCGGGGCCCAGAATTGCGTGGGGGTTGTTTCCGCAATTCTGGGGTGGCACTTGCCCGGGGAACCTACTACCAAAATCTTAGCGCTGGAACTTGCTTAGTTGCCGAGTTGAAATACCCAGACAGACGAACGCGCACACATACAAACTTATACACACCGACAAGGTCGTCGCAGTATGCGCTTTTGCAATTTACATATAGGCAAAAACGCATAATCATTCATACAGTTAACGGCCTAATTGCTTTAATTTTGATGCGAAAGTGCATGACCGTACCAGCAAGCCTGGTGCGTTACAGAATGGCTATTTTAATAGAAGTAATGCCTCGTATCTGTTGTGAACTCCGTGACAAACAGTTTTATTAAGACCAGGGCGTTTCCGCTCATTTCTCTGTTATGCGTTTTTGCCGCGCAGCGCTAGAGCGCTGCAACAGGCAGCAAAAACGCATATTGCAACGATCCTGTCAGTGTGTGTGTGTTTTTTTGTGTGTGTTCGTCTGTCCTGGTATTTCAACTCGCTAGCCAT